TGTTTACCATCACAGAATCATAAATTGCAAGACTTTGAAAACAACGGTGAGCTCACTGCCTCCTCCTTCGACATCTTTCTCACCTGGCTTCTGGGGCACCAAACCATCTCCCTGGTCTTGCCTTACCTGCACATTTCCCTTATTACTAAATGTTGGGCTGCCCCAGAACTCAGTGCTTGGGTCAGATTCTTTTCTATCTACACTCACTTCCTTGGTCATAGTATCTGCCTTTCTGATTTTAAATATTAACTAGACCCTAATGGTACTCCCTGACCTCTAAGTTCACATATCCACCTGCCTGCCTGATTTCTCCATATGAAAGTCCAAGGGGCATGTCAAAATTATCTCAAACTCCTGACACCAGCTTCTGATATCACCCCACTCCAAACTTCTCAGTCTGTAGTTTTCTTCATGTCAGTAGATAGCTATTTCTTCTGTGGCAAATTTTATATTCCAAGAATCCCACAATAATATATGCACTCTCATGTGCTCTTTCCACTCTCCAATGAAGAAATGGAGTTTATTTCCTTTTCTTCAACTCTTGGCAGAAATGACTGCCTTGATGCAAAACATGTATCAGAAGTGACACAAGACTTCCATGATGATGTCAAAAGTTTGATACACAAAATACCAACAGCATTTTTCACAGAACTAGAACACATAATCTTAAAATTCGTATGGAACACAAAATATCCCAAATATACAAATCAATCTTGAAAAAGAACAAAACTGGAGGTATTACATTCCCAGATTTCAAGATATACGAAAAATCTCCAATAATCAAAACAATATGGTAATGGTACAAAAATAGACACATAGACCAATAGAACAGAATAAAGAGGCCAGAGATAAACCTACAACTCTATGGTCACTTAATCTTTGGCAAAGGAGGCAAGAATATGCAATAGAAAGTCCCTTCAATAAACAGTGTTGGAAAACTGCACAGATACATGCAGAACAATGAAACTAGACCACTTTCTTACATCATACACAAAAGTAAATTCAAAATGGATGAAAGACCTAAGTGTGAGACCTGAAACCATAATAATCCTGGAATAGAGCAGAAGCAGTAATCTCTCTGGCCATAGCAACATTTTTCAAGATATGCCTTCCAAAGCAAGGGATACAAAAGCAAAAATAAACTATTGGGACTATATCAAAATAAAAAGCTTCCACACAACAAAGAAAATAATTAACAAAACTAGAAGACAACCTACTGAATGGGAGAACATATTTGCAAATGACATATCTAGTAAGGGGTTAGTATCCAAAATATGTAAAGAACTTACACAACTCAATGCCAAAAAAAAAAAAACAATTAAAAAATGGGCAGAAGACATGAACAGACATTTCTGCAAAGAAGACAGCCAGATGGCCAACAGACACATGAAAAGATGCTCAACGGGACTTAGTATCAGCAAATGCAAAGCAAAGCCACAAAGAGATCACTTCATACCTGTCAGAATGGCTAAAATAAATAATACAAAAAAAACAACAAGTGTTGGCAAGGATGTGGAGCAAAAGAAACCCCTTTGTACTGTTGGTGGTAATGTAAACTGGTGTAGCCACTGTGGAAGACAGTATGGAGGTTCCTCAAAAAATTAAAAATAGGAATTGGGGATCCCTGGGTGGCGCAGCGGTTTGGCGCCTGCCTTTGGCCCAGGGCGCGATCCTGGAGACCCGGGATCGAATCCCACGTCAGGCTCCCGGTGCATGGAGCCTGCTTCTCCCTCTGCCTGTGTCTCTGCCTCTCTCTCTCTCTCTGTATGACTATCGTAAATAAATTAAAAAAAATTAAAAAAAAATTAAAAATAGGAATTGCCATACGATCCAGTAATTCCACTACTGGGTATTTACCCAAAGAATATAAAATACTAATTCAAAAAGATATATGGCCCTATGTTTAATTGCAACATTATTTACAATAGCCAAATTACGGAAGCAGCCCACATGTCTATCATTAGATGAAGAAGATGTGGTATATATATATACAATGGAATATTATTCAACCATAAAAAGAATAAAATTTTGCCATGTGCAACAACATGGATGGATCTACAGGACATAATATTAACCGAAATAAGTCAGAGAAAGACAATGATTTGATTTCACTCCTACATAGAATTTAAGAAACAAAACAAACAAAGAAAAAAGAGACAAACCAAAAAAAACCAGACTATTAACTACAGAGAACAAACTGGTGGTTAGCAGAGGGGAGGTGGGTGGGGACGGGTGAAATAGGTGATGGGAATTAAGAGAGTACATTTATCACGATGAGCACCGAGGAACATAGAATTGTTGAATCACTATATTGTACATATGAAACTAATATAATAGTGTATGTTAATTATAATGGAATTAAAATTTTAAAAATGCTTTTGGGGAAAAATAACTTGGTACAGCTTCTACCTAGCTCTCTCTCTCTGAAGCCACTCACAACTGGAACCTTGGAACCCAGCCATCATGGTGTGAGGAAGCCAAGCAGCCATATGGAAAGGCCACATGTAGATGGCCCGACCTTAGCCAACAATCAGCATCAACTCACATAAGCAAGTGGGCAAACTCCCAGATGAAGCTAGCCCCCAACATTGGAGCTGCCTTGACTGACATTGAGCAGAAGCAAGCTGTTCCCTCAGAGCCCTGCCCAAACTGCAGATTTGTGAGCAATGTTGCTGTTGTTTACACCACTAAGTTGTGTGACTAGTGGTCCAATGGCTGTTTTTGCAGCCATAGCATTGTCAACACTGTTCAGGCCCAAACCATGGGGTCATCCTTGCCACCCCTCTTTCTCCCATATTCGTTCTTCCAATCTGTCAGGAAATGCTCACAAAACATATCAAAAATCTGAGCTCTTCTTGCACTCCATTGCTCCTAATCTTTCCAGTAGCTTCCCACCTAACTTCCCTGCTTCCATCCTACCCCTCTTTGATCTGATTCTCAACGCAGCAGCCAAAGTGATCCTATTAAAAATAAGTCAGATCATGTTAACTCTAATCAAAAGCTCAAATGACTTCCCATACCACTACACAATTTCCTCCCACCTCTCATGAGCTTTCTGTCCTCATTCCTTACTATCTTCAGTCCCCAGATCCACTGACCACTGCTCTTCTGTTCCCACCTGGGCCTTCAGACATGGTTTACTCCCTTACTTCCCTCAAGTCTTTACTCAATGTCGCCTTTTGCATGGGGATGTCCCCAGCCATGGTATTCTCCTTCTCTGCTTCATCTTTCTTCCCAGCACTCCTTACCACTCACATCATTTTAATTATTTATCTGGTTTCTCACTTGCTACCCACCCCACCACCAGCCTTATATACACAGAGACCACAGAATACGTAATAGAATGTTAGCTACATGATGACAGGGGTTTCTATCTGTTCTACTCACTAATGCATCCCTAGCATCTTAAACAGTACCTGGTTGGCACAATGAAGACCATTGATAAACATCTGTTGAATAAATGGATGAGATTAAATGCTCTGCAGGTTAGAGTCCTATCATCTAACTAGCCTTGGGGAAATCTGAACCCAATCTTCTGCTCTAGCTTTTATTCCAAGTAAAATACCTTTTAGCTATAATAATAGAATAACAAAATAAATCCATGAAGAAAATGTACTCTTATTAAATAAGACATCTTTGGAAGTGTTTCCAAAGTTATTTCAGAAGCACAATGATGGTATCAAGGACCTAGGTGTTTTCTATCTTTTCTCTTTACCATCTTTACGAAACATATGTGACTTATGTTGAAACTCTAACTCCCAGTGCCATGGTACTTGGAAGTGAGACTTTTGGGAGATTATTCGGATTAGATAAGGCAATGAGGGTGAGGCCCTCATGATGGGATTAATGTCATTATAAAAAGAGGAGGAGACGGGGGAATCTTTCTTTCTGTGTGCACCTATCAAGGAAAGACTACATGAAGATGACCAAAAAGTGGGCCCTCACCAAGAACTTGATCATTCTAGCACCCTGATTTTGGACCTCCAGCCTCCAGAATGTGAGAAATAAATATATGTTGTGTGAACCACCCAGGCTGTGGTATTTGTTACGGCGACTCCAGCAGACTAGGACAGTGTGGCAGATTATATTTCCCAAAGACGGCCACTCCTATATATTTCTTCTACAACACATGCTCTTCATACAATATGACTGACACTTCTCCTACCAAGAGGTGGGGTCTATGTTTTCTCCTCTCAAATCTAGGTAGGAGTTGTAGACTGTTGATCCCAATCGACAGAGTAAGGTGGAAGTAATGCTATGTGATGCCAGGTTACAAAAAAGGATATGGCTTCCACTTGGCTCTCTCTTTCAGGATGCTTACCTGGGAACCCTGACAACACATTGTGAGGAAGCCTGTGCCACATGGAGCAGCTGACATGGAGAGAAATTGAGCCCTCCCTCTAGCAGGTAGTACCAATTTGCCAGCCATGTGAGTGAGCCATCTTGGAAGTGGTCCTCCAGCTGTAGTCAAACCTTCAAATAACTATACCTCCAGCCAACATGTTCTTATTACCTCATGAGAAACTCCTAATCCAGAACCTTTCCCAAATTCCAAGATGACAGAAACCATGGAAGACTTTTGTTATTTTAAGCCACTAAGTTTTGGGGTAATTTATTAGGGAGTATTTATGTGAACCAGATTGATGCCATCTTGGACAAATCTGCCATGATAACCCCTCAATGACCTGAAGCCTTTTTAAGCACACACACCCTACCCCTACCCCCAGTCATACCATCCTTCCTTTTTGTTTAACCACACCCTTAAGTACACTCTTGGAGCATAACATCCTTGATCTGTGCTGGAGATAGGACTATCATTTCAAACATTCTCCTTCTGTGTGGTCTCCCAGCCTTTAGGGCAATGAAAACAGGTCAAAACAGATTTTATAGGAGGTGAGGTTGCAAAAATCTTCTCTTGCCACCAGCCAAGACCTGTAAGTCCCTTTAATAAACCATTTCTTGCCAGGCTGTACTTGTCAGCCTTATTCTTTAGTCTTATAGCCCCTTTGGCCTTTGGAGGTCATTTTGTCTATACCTCCCTTTCATGAAGCAGTATTGGATAATTAATACACTCAACATATTAGCTTTTATCCTTCATAGTTAAGGCATGGCTGCTACAGCTTCTGACATCGCATCATCATTTCAGAAAAGCATGACGATATTCTAGGAACAGATTTCAATCAATCTTATAAACCTCCAGCAACTAGAATCTTTGGAATTCAATTCTGGGTGTAGGATTGCATCACTAAGAACTACAGGACTGCTTAGTTTTTTTTATATTATTCTCAAGCAAAGGCAGGGAGCTACTCTAAAGTCTACACATCTTTACCACTAGTAATCTTACTAATGAAACTGCATTGGTAGCATCCATTATGCATGCTAATTGAAAAGCCACCAACTGCATCAACAGAAACCTATCTCTTTTTTTCTTTCTTTTTTTTTTAACAGAAACTTATTTCTAACATTAATTATGACAACTGGTAAAGCCTCTGCTGTTGATCAGAGATAAAGATCATGGAAGCCTTTGCAGTAGCTGTTTCTGGAGCACAGGTTTCCACCCTAGGATGTAAATTCTCAATTAGGACAAACAACAGTATCTAGGCTATCACATAATTCTGAAATGCATACATGAGAACACACCACCTATGATGAAATATTTTAAGTATATTACAGACATTACAATCCTCAGAGTGGCTCTCTTGTCTCAAGCTCATTCCTACATCTCCTTTCACACATGCCCTTCAAGTCTTCCGATTAATTTCATTAGTTTCTGAGGAACCAAATCCACTCACACAGGGATAGACTTCTTTTCTGATGCTCCATTCAGGATGGGCTGCAGGTGCTCTGTTTTGGTTCTTTGATCATCCAAATGCATGCCCATTTCCCAAGGAAGGCAGTAATCCTCGTAGGCAGGTGAGTTCAAACCTGTGTTCAAGAGAGATGTACACGGTACCTCTTTCACTGCCTCATCGCTTGCACCTAGAGTCAAGATTCTTCATGGTTGCAGTAGGGTTTGGTCCCTTGGTGCCTACTGGATTAAGGACTGTGTTACTCCTTAATGGTTGTCTTCTGGTTTTCACAGGAGAACCACTGAAATGATACAGATACCATTAAATTCCTACCGCATACCTATGTTCTCCTCAGTCTCCATCTGAGGATGGACGGGAAATGACCTATTCTCCTAGTGGCAGAGGTTAGCTAAGCTTTATCAAGCCATGTGGTTGCCCTGACACTGACTAAGGAGAATGGAGAGGATAACCCAAGGGACAGCGGCGAATGTGAGGAGGAGACCTCGCGGAGCCTGGACTCCAGCCCTACTTCTGCCAACACAATGGTTTAGACCTGCTCCTCCACACTTTTTGCTCCTTCCATTTCCTCATCTCCAAAACATTAAGATCCTTCCTAGTTAGATTGGCCAGTTCTGGCTACATGGCTGTTACTTCTAGACAAACCCAGCAGTACCACCTGCTTAGCTGTTCCCATATTTCCCTCTTCCCTACTTTTCCCTCCATTTCTTCTCTTCCTTTATGCTCCTATCCCTTCTCTTCTGTTTCTCCTTCCCACCCTACCCACATATATAGGGTACCTACTATGGCCTCAGAACATTCGCGACCCTCAAGGAGTTCACCACTGAATAAAAGACATAATAATAATAATTACTATTATTTAAATGAGAATAAACAAAATGCTACTTGCTAATATTTACCATTCTCCGCCTATGTGCCAAGCAAAAACTCACTGTGCCTCGCGACAAGTGCTACCACAGAGATAGGACCCAAAGCAGAAATGCTGACGAGGAAGAGAGGAAAAAGGATCTCTCTCCACATGAAGCTGGAAAGATCCTTTGAGAGGTGGCACTGAAGGATGAGAGGAGATTTACCTGATGGGGAAGAGTCTGTTGCCTGGTTAGATGACCTCATAACTTAGAAAATGATAAGGAATTTACAAAGTCGGTGTCTCCTAAAAATATCAGAATAACAGAAATTACTTGGGTTTTCATGAGGCTATATATTAATGCAGATGCTGTATCTTTTTTTTTATTATTTTGTAAAAAAAAAAAAAAAAAAACCACTTCATGATTTTAGTTCTTGCTACATTTCCTCCCTTATGCTAATACTGCCTGTGGCCGAAAGGACGAAAGGATGTGAGCCTTCTCTCTCAGCCTCCTGCCTGCCCTTCCCCCAGCTTCCAGGCCATACGTTTGTTAATCATGTGGTTACTTTTCCAGAGCCCAGTGCTTGAGCATACTTTATCTTAGGAAATGTTCAGAATAGGCTGGGGGAAACCCCACTTTCTAGGAACATTGGCAATTACGTGAAGACCTTAGGTGACTGATTCTTTATTTTAGGTTCTGGCTTTGACTTATACCCAATCACATATTTCCAAGTCAGGAAGTGTGGAAATGTGAGGTTTTAGCTGCTCAGCGCTCACACGCTCCTCTGAGATGACAGGAATCAGGTTTCCTTGAGGAATCACTTCTCCCCCAGTCTCAGTCCAAGGCCTTGAAAGTAGTTACCTCCCCCAGGCCTGGCCAATCAAGGTCACAGTCCTACCACATGGCCATGCTGGGCTAATGAGCAACAGCTTTGGAACTTTCATGGTCTTCTTGGGAAAAAGGAAACGTCTTCCCGTGATGGTAACAAAGCTGGTGGCATATGAACCTGGCACTCCAGCTGCCCTTCTTTGCCACCACTTGAGACGAGCCTACCTAAAAATGAAGCTAACATAGTGTTTCTGCTCAGGCTGGGTATGCTCTTCATGGCTTTTTTCAGATCCACCCGTAAGGTTCCTAGTGTCACTCGAGATGTGGGGACACAGTGACTGCTGATACTGCCTCTATTCAAAGGGTCAGTGCTGTCCCTCACCCTAGCTGAATTCCCCACATCCTGGCTGAGACCCATAACCTCTCCAGTTACTTAAAAATCTCTCTCTTGCTTAGTATGTTCCAACACTGTCCTTGTCCCTGGCCAAGACCTGCCAACCCCTTCTTCATGTCACAGATAGTACATCCTAGCAGTCAGCCTGGAGCTCTCTCAAAGCCATTACGGGCTCCTCCATCAGCAGGGTGACACCATTTTATGGCCAGAGAGACTTTGACTCTCCACTTTCCCCTGAGGCCCCAGAGTCTTCCTGATGAAGAACAAGGTGCCAAACAGAGAAAAGCAATCATCCAAAGACACAACAAAATGTTTCTGGAATATGTGTGTTTAAGTTTACTGGGAGGAGAAAATTGTACTTGTTTTATTTGGCAATCATAAACCTGTCCTAGACGTGTGTAGAGGATAACAAAATTCCTTCTCCATAACTTTTATTCCCACAGAGAGTGACTTCTCAAAGGCCACTAGACTGAGTTCAGGGACTAGAGGTTGGTAAATAGCAACCGGCTGTCCTCCCTGGACCAAGCACAGCTGTGGTCCAAACCCTAGTGCCAGGAACTTGAAACCATGTGCCAGGCCGTCACACCAGAGTCTGGGCCATCCTCATCGCTCTGGCCACTGGTGTCAAATGCTGAGAGGGCAGGTGGAGGTGGCTGGGCTTCCTCTTATTTTTAATTCTCCCATGGGGATAGAATACAGAGATGGGGACAGAGGAAAAGAAACATGAACAAGTGTTCTTGTTCAGCCCAGACTCTGGTTAGGAGACAGCAGCTCAATGCCCTTCATCCCCAGGAGACCTCCTGCTGTGTCTTCAGACATTTCTGGATTGGAAGGCTTACAGTCAGCCAACATGACTCCAGGCTCTTCCTCATTCTATCTGTGTGACTTTGGATAAATGACTTTTCTCATTCATAAAATTAGGAATAATATAAATGCTACTACCACCTTGGGCTGACGATGAGCTACCATCTGTACGACATATCAGGGCACCATATCTGGCACGTAGACAGCAGGCCACAGTGGGAGTTAGCCTTCCAGAGGATATTACTTGGGGTTTACTTCTGTGAAACTGCAAAGCCTATACTTTCTTCCCCATGTTGAAGAAACTGCTTTTTTCCATTTAGGCCCAAAAGATCCAGAGACTTGATAATTTACAGGTTCAGCACAATGGTCAATAAGAGAATTCCAGCCTCTGTGTGAAGTGCCCTGCTCGACCCCAAAAACAAGCTTGCTTTGTTCTTTCTGTTCAAGAGCAAATGACGTCACTGCTCCATTTTTTGAAAACCAAATGCCGAAGTCATAGAGGCTGCTTTGCAGTTTCCCCACACATTTCTAATAGATTTCCCGCAAGCTGGTATTGCAACCCCAAGCAAATCAAAAATTATGCAACACTTTTCTTAAATATCATCTACATAAAGAACATCAAGCTCTGGTTACAAAGCCATGAAGAGTTGGGGGGAGGGAATTTCATAAAACACCCAGGGTTGGATATGAGGATGGAGGGGGTGTAGGTGGTAGATAGAGAACTGAGCAGGCAGGCAGACAAGCTCGGGTCCTCGACCCGGCCCCTCCGCTTACTAACTGCATGGTCTCAGGCACAGCCATCAACGTGTCTGGGCACGTGTGCTCAAGTGTGCAATGCAGGGGGTGGGCTAAATCGTCCAGAAGGTACTTTGGGTCTGAGGTTCCAGTTCTGGAGGAGAAAGGGGGACATGGAGAGATGTGAGATGCATAACAGAGCAGCACAACATCCCACATCCAGAGAAGGCCAGGCGAGAGCAAAGGGGTCATGGCTTGAGTAGGGAGGACAAATGCCTGCTTTTCCCAATTAGGTTTAAGTGTTTCACATCCTTGACCTGTCCGTTTGCCTCAGCTGATTGGAAGGATCTAGGAATGAGAATATTATGAGTCCTCTGAGTTTGTCAGGACGGAAACCTGAGCTGCTGGTGAGGAAACACTGCTCTGGAATGCAGAACTTCCCAGGAGCCTTAATAAGAACATGGGCCGCTGATCACTTTATGATGACAAAGGTGTTACAAAATGCTGAGCACACCTGGGTCAGAAAGGAAGCTTTAGTTTCTACATGGGAACAAAAGGATCTCACAGATCTCACAGAAAGCCAGGCCTTTCAGTGGATAAAACCTTGCACTCCCACCCCCACCCCACCCCGCCATGTCACTTCACAAGGAGAATCAGTGTCAATATAAACAGACAGCTTTGAGGGAAAACAAGGCGCTTGCTGTGCTGAGGAACAGGCTGAACTGAGGGTGTGCCTCTCTTGGGCCCGCTGCCCAGCGGTCCACCCTAAAGATAAGCCAGCCCCGACTGGCTAAGGCCTGGCTCCTCCACAAGCCAGCTGGGGGGCAAGTGTACGTCCACTGTTCCAGCCCCCTGTTTCCACAGAGGCTTCTGACATCCGGGAGGCCAGCCAAATTGCCCATCTGGCCCACCCACCTCTCCCAGGCCCGAGGCCCTTCACATCAGTTCCCACCTCTGTTGGAAGAGCTTAGGCAAGAGGTCTCCCATTTCCCAAACCTGGAAAGACCTTGAAATGAATCATAAATATGGAAATACAGCAGTCTCTTGGGATCTCTGTTATAGGAAAAGGCTGGAAACAAGATATCTCATCTCCCCATTGGTTTCAGTGGCCCAGGAGTGTGGTTTTTTCAGAAACATACATGGAAACCATTCCCATAGACACTACAAGGGGAGAAAACCCATTATCGCCCAAAACAAACACCACCAAACACTGCTACCATGAGTAGGAACAAACAATAACCAGTAAGCCATACATGAACCCTGAGAAAACATGCAAGGATGGGTTCCAGACTTGCCAGGAATTCCCACACCTTCATGCCTTTCAACATCCTGTCCTCCCCACCTGGAACACCTTTTACCACCTAATTTGCTCTTGTCTCCAAGACTCTCTGGAAATCCAAGGGCCGCTCTCCGAGTGCCTGGCCTGCCTCCCACAGCACACCTACAGCATGTCCTCGTTACCAGTGTGTGCCAATGTCTTCATTCAGAGCAGCTTCTGTGTGGGCCCCACCTGCCCAGCTCAGTGTGTGGCAAAGAAAGAGCTCAACCAAAGACCTTAGATGGATGAGTAGTGACCAAATGATGGCCTTCAAAGGGCTTCCACTCCAGGAGTTCCTTGAGATGTTTTATCTCATTTTCCTTCATAACATGGTAGTACTTTTGTTTGGGGTATAAATTTATAATTTGTTTGGGTCTTGTCCATGGTAACACCTTCCTTCCAATTAATTCATGGATGGGGAAGGAGAACAAGTTTGCCCTGGCAGCCAAGTACATAGCAGCCTGGAATCTCTCCTGGGACGACGGCATTGACCAAGCAATGGCACTTTCCAACTCAGAGAGAGGTAGCCCATTCTTGAGAAAGTAGACATTGTTATATCCATGTAATGATTAGCAACTGAGGCAGAAAAGTCTCATGGCCAAGAGCCATGACTGTGCAGAATTGCTACAACAAAGCCAGCTGTCCATTCATTAATTCACCATTTATGTGGCAAGGACCTCTCCGGTGCCAGGCGCCTTGCTAAGCACCCAGGGTGGTGAATACAACAGCCATGGTCTCCGTCATCACTGCGTGGGTGCAGGGGCACTGAGGTCAAACAAATAAACATATAATTGGATGCTGCAATTCATATCATGAAGGAAACGTACGGGATGCCAAGAGGGATTCTATGGGGGGGGGGAGCAGGTGCTGATTGTCTGGCATTTGTTTATTAAGCACTTAGTGTGTGTCAGGGACTCTGTGACGCTCAGACAGGGCTCATTTGAGCACGACCCTCAAGGACGCACCCAGGGGAGTCACTCAAAGTTCTCCCCTTGGGAGGTCCTTAGGGTTTTCTGCAGCCCCCATCTCCTCATCTGTCAGAGCAGAGATAAGAGCAACTTCTCCACTTGTTGCACATCTGGACGGGGAAGATCGATGCTGGAACACTTTGTCTTTCAAAAATACTGGGTAAAATTAGTGTGGACTAAAAACTTTTATAGAAATAAGCCATTATGTCCTCGAGTTCAGATCTATATGTAATACACAGATCTCATTTCTTCAACCAG